TAGGCGACGGGGCCGGGAAGGGCGGCGCCGGGGCCGCAGGGGTAGGCGACGGGGCCAGCAGAGGCGGCACCGGGGCCGGGAAGGGCGGCGTCGGGGCCGCAGGGGTAGGCGACGGGGCCGCTAGGGCGGCTAGGAGGGGGGTCGCGAGGGCGGCCTGAAGAGGCCGCGAGGGCGGCACAAAAGGGCCGCGAGGGCGGCATGAGAGGGCCGCGACGGTGGCGCGACGCGGCGGAGCCGCTAGGGCGGCGGATCGGGGCCGCGGGGGCGGCGCGACGGCGCCGCAAGGGCGGCGCGACGGGGCCGCGAGAGGCCGCTAAGGGGCCGTGCGGGGCCATGAGGGCGGCGCGACGGGGCCGCTAGGGGCCGTGAGAGGAAAGCGCGACTCGGGCAGGGGCTGAGTGCGCTCCGGGCAGGAAAAAAAAAAAAGGAACGGTGGGCCCTAGGAACAGTTGGGAACCTGCTCGATACCATAAGAAAACTGAAACGAGAATGAATGAACTATGAAACAGTTGGGTACAAGTACTAACCTTGATTGGGTTGTACCCCTTATGGCCTACCCCACTACAGCCTACACAAATGTATAAGCTATAATGTTCTGACAAATCCGTACAAAGAACGCAGAAGGAGAGGAAGGGGCGCACGTGTACGTCAAGTATTATGAGGCGGCGACCCTATGCCCAGTCACTACATGTGTGCAGCTGACGCCTGGGAGGGTGGACACCCGGTACGCTGTGGTGGTTGTGGAGTGCATCAAGCGGGTGGTGCACGTGTGCAAGTCTTACGTCAACAAGAAGATGGTGCTGCTGAACAAGTTCCTGTTGTGCGAGTAGTTGGTGAGGTATGAGGTTGGACGCGCTCACGGACGTGCCTATGTTTTTATTACTGGCTAACTTTTAAATGTTGTTGAATCACGTAGAGTAAGTAGTGGCATGATAAGTTATGAACATTGGTGCTCGGGGAGGATGATGTTAGTGAGACTGGTAACGTCGTGGTCATGAACAATAAGTTGAGGGGTAGTGTACAATTATTCAATGTGGTGTCGTGAAGCGAGGGTGTCTGAAATGCGAATGTGTGGCCGCGGATGTTCTTTTTTTTAACGTGCCGCGCTTTGTTTACCGGAAGCGACTCGAGGTCCGTGTGAAATTTGCGGTCCGAGGGTGGAGGGCTCAGGAATGTGGGCATGCGGGTGTGCGTGACATTCCTGTCACAAAATTGGTGGGTTCGGGGACTTTATGTAGAGTTTTTCGTAGAAAAACCCACGGAGCCAAATTTGGGCGATTGACATTTCCGCGATGTACCTGAAGTGTGAAGTACCACAGGCCGCTGCCGCTCAGAATCTGAACCACGATTCCGCTGTCGGAAGGGCAGCTCACCCAGCTATAGTCAACCTCCACCTCGCCCCCGTTCCCGCTGCTGACGATTATGTCCCAGGCGGGATCGTTTAGCTTGAATACGGAGCCGGCATTGTTGACTGCCCTCACCAATGCGGAGCCATCCTTCTTGCAGCTGCGGTGGTTCTTGCAGGAAACTCGGTAGCACGCTCCGCAATGACTGACGCCGTTCGAGTTGAACAAGCTCCAAGGCACCAGCGCAATCATGCCCTTGTAAACGCGACTGATGTTGCCGTTGTAGCACTGCCCCTCCCCGATCAGCGAGGCTTTGCCTGCGCTGGCGGAAAGAGCGCCAGCAAGAGTGAGGGCGAGAGCAAGCACGACAATTCCCGCGCACACCAGGCCGGCGACCTTGGAAACAGCGAGAGCCATCGGGAGAAAAGGAGCAGAGCGTAGTAGTACGAATGCTGAGGTTTTAATGGACTTCTCTGCTGGGGAGAGCGATCGCCTGTAAAATAATATAAAGTTGAACCAAAAGAGATTGAATAACTCATCCCAAAAAAGTTCCCCGCAATTTTCTACCCCAAGGTCACATCAGGGTTACCCCGATTGGTGATACCCCATTGTCGCCAGCAGTGATACCCCAATGTCACCCCGGTCGAGGCTTCAGTTCGTTGTCACACTGGGGTGACCCCGAGATGTGACCCTCCCGCGAAGTTTGGGCCCAATCACGTGCGTTCCCGCTTCCCGCTTAACGCGAGCTGCTTCTGCGCTGTTAACTTTCTCGATTTCAACACTATCATAGCTACAAGACAGTGTTTTCTATTTTGTCATTAAAAAACTATTATAAATCTCATTCCGCTATTCCCACAATTAGTATTGATATCAATCGATTACTGTTTATTTTGTCATGGGCTGCTTATTGCCAGTATAATTTGTATGCAGAAGCTGGTCGATTCCATTAATCAATATGCACATTTTAAATAAAGCATTACAAAACACTTTGACATGCAGACAACGTGCACTACTCTGCAGATACAGCACGTTATAAAAGCTATGTTACTCACTCAGGAGAGCTCCAGCACAACCTCACTACCCAATGTAGACGATGGTTTGCTCCTGCAACACACAACACAAAGAAAACAGGAACACACGAGATTGCAGGATTCTTATTACACGAATACGTGACAGGATCGCCCTCCGTATTCTGCACCGAGTGGCGACATTCAGACACGGGGAGGGTGGGTAAGAGTGAGGAATAAGTAGTGAGAACAAGTAGAGAAACATTGGTACACGAGGAAACGATTGTCACGCCACAGGTGTCTATTATGCACCGCATGCTCACCGGCAGTGAAATCTGGCCAGATACGAAGCTAGTTGGTGATACAGCATCTGCAAAACATTCGCGGCAAAGGCAACGAGATTCGATGAAACAAACCATATGACGGAGAGAAGGCATGTGGAAACCAGGCTGCAGACAAATAAAAATAAACGGAGGCAATGAAAAAATATAATCAGAGTGACGCCATGAAGCAAACGGAATGAAAGGGCGCTCATCCTGCAACCCCATTGTACAGCATTTCAGCTTACCTCACGACGAGCACTATTTACAGCTTGACTGTACAACAGTTCTTAGGCTGATACGAGTCGAGAATGGAGCATCACGCATCGCCCCCGTGTTCGATATTCTGCCATGAAAAAACGATAACGAAATAAGACATATACGATGCATGTAATTCAAACAACGGCACCCCTAAAATACTATGACTTTGCTGGTGGAAAAGTGAAGGAACTTAATTCCTAAAACGTGCACGCGAAATCTGACCACGGTCAGAACATCACCAGGGCTAATCGAGACAACCTGCTTCTTATTCAAGTAAGCTGCGTGTATCTCTCGTAGTAGCTGCTCCACGTGAGTATCGTGAGCTGAAAACGACTTAGGTAGAGAATGACGGGTTGTGTTTGAACCAGGATGCACAAGGCTAGAAGGCAGTGATGGGTGAGGAGAGGCAGTAGAAGGTGGTTTTCAAAGAGCTACGATTGGTTTGTGATCTAAACTGTGCCACGTAACCCAACTGAGAAAATTAGAACGAGAATGAAATGACTATGAACGAAGTGAGTACAAGTAGGAAACCCTAATTGGGTTGTACCCCCTATGGGATACCCCACTATAGCCTACACAAATAAGTAAGCTATAATATTCTGACACACCCCCATAGGCAAAGTGGGGGAGAACAGGGGGTCACAAGACCAGTCAAGCAAAGCAAAGCTCAGGGTGGATCACAAAGTCACCACACATTCCGAGCACAAGTTCAAAGGCCAGAAGGCCAGTTCACATGCAAGATCACATATAGAGATATACAAGAGTCAAGCAAGCAAGAGCAAGAGTATATATAGGTGAAGGTACAAGCAAGGTCAAGAAGTGAGCAAGTGAGGCAAGACAGGCACAACACCCAGCTGCGTGCAGCAGCGCGGATGATCACAAGGCGCAAGTGCCTTGGTGAAGACATCAGCAGTGTTGGCCTCAGAGGCCACGTACGCAAGTCGCAGCTGTCCACGCTGCTGTAGCTCACGAGCAAGAAAGTAGCGGAGAGCAATGTGCTTTGTCCTGTGCTCCAGTCGCTGCTCTCGACACAAGGCCAGCATGGCCTTGTTGTCTACGTACAGGACTGGAGGAGAACGAGGCGGCTCTCCAAGGTCGGTCAGCAAGTAGGTGAGCTAGCGAAGCTCCTGGGCAGCCATAGCCCCGGCGTAGATCTCAGCCTCACAACTGGAGCCGAGAACAGAAGACGAGCGGGTAGCCCGCCACGAAACAGAGCCGGAACCAAGGCTGAAGGTGTAACCCTGTGACGACTGCTGCGTAGCCTGGTCGTCAGCCCAAGAAGCGTCCGCGTGCCCACTGAGGACCACTGGACTGCGCCCTCCAAGCACTAGCCCCATGCCCGACGTACTGCACAAGTAGCGCAACACCCTCTTCGCTACAGCCATGTGCTCTGGTCGGTGTCTCCCAGGAGCAACATAGCGTGCGAGAATGCTAAGAGGGTATGCAAGGTCAGGTCGTGTGCAGGTCATCAGGTACATGAGGCAGCCAACAAGCTCCGGATACGGGCCACTCGACTCTACGGACTCATCCGAAGGCAGAGCTGAGAGTGAGTGGCGAGTAGGCAGAGGAGTGGCCTGAGGCGAGGAGTACGTGAAGCCGAAGCGCTGAAGGACCTGCAGCACCATGTGTGACTGAGTAAGGGTAATGGTGCGCTGTGCTCTGTCCCGGTTGATCTACAAGCCAAGGTAGCTGCGCAGTTCACCCAGGTCAGTGACAAGGGCAGACGCAGCAGAAGACTCGAAAGAAGGGTCAGTGACGGCAGTAGAAAGGAGACGCATGACAGTAGGACTCGCAGCACGAAGAGAGTCCGACTCCGGGTCGGCAAGAGCAGGAAGAGAGGAAGCAGGAGGAGAAGGCAAAGGGGCACGCAGAGGAGCAGTAGACGGACGCAGAGACATCCGGTGCGTGCCAGGGACAGGAGGAGGACGCTGACGCGAACCGCGACCACTAGTGCGCGCAGCACGAACAGGCGACGCAGGACGAGACGCAGGCTCACGACGCTCAGTAAGGCCTCCAGACGGACCAGCGTAGGGAGAAGGAGCAGGCAAAGGGGAGGCAGGCTGTAGCTATGACTGTGACAGGACAGGCTGTGGACCCTCTAAGGGAGGAGGAGGAGGACCAGGAGAAGGTGTAAGACCAAGAATTTGCTGCAGGAGGGGAACGAAGTACGGTCGGGGCCGCGAAGCGACGCCAGAAACAGCAGGGACAGCACCAGTACCCCCAGCAGGAGCACCCGCTCCAGCAGCACCTCCAGCAGCACCTCCAGTAGCACCTCCAATAGCTCCAGAACCCCCAGCAGCACCAGAACCTCCAGTAGCACCAGGAGCACCGCCAGCCGGACCGCCAGCAGTAGTCTCAGCGCCAACACGCTCAGCAGCACCAGCTCCAGTAGAACCCGCAGGCCCAGCAGCTCCAGTACTCCCAGTACGAGCACCTCCGGGACGCACGGGAGCAGCACCCTCAGCAGCCGAAGAACCTCCAGCACCAGCAGCATGCCTCCTGCGCCGGGCAAACCACTCACGCAGCTCCTGTGGGGAGAGTGGCTCTCGGCGAGATGAAGCACCCGGAGAACCTCCAGGCGAAGAACCCTCAGGCACAGCACCTCCAGGCGTAGCACCTCCGGTCTTAGTACCCCCAGGCTCAGCACCCCCAGGCTCAGCACCCCCAGGCTCAGCACCCCCAGGCTCAGCACCCCCAGGCTCAGCACCCCCAGGCTCAGCACCTCCAGGCCCAGCACCCCCAGGCTCAGCACCCCCAGGCTCAGCACCCTCAGACTCAACACCCCCAGGGAGCACCCCCAGTCATAGCACCCCTAGGCTCAGCATCCACAGCAGCACCAGAGTCACTAGTGACCTCGACAGGCTCAACCGCGTCTACCTGGGACACACCTGAAGGGGCAGGACCCTGAGGGGGAAGGGGGTCTACCGGGGTTGGGACCTGGTGCCAAGAAGAGCGGGGGTGGGGGGAGGGACGGAGTGCGGTAGGGGAAGAGGCGGTAGTAGGGTACCGACTCGTCGAACGTGACGTCCTGGGAGGACAGAACACGGCGAGAGGTGGGGTGGTAGAACTGCCACCCAGGGGCGTCGGGGGGGAACCCAACGAAGACGCAGGGTGTAGCGCGAGGGGACAGCTTGTCCGCAGACAAGTCGCGGACAAACGCCCGAGATCCCCAGACCCGGAACGCCGACGCATCGCCAACCTTCCCCGTCCACAGCAGGGCTGGGGAGGTCTCCGGCATGGAGACCCTGGGGTGGAGGTTGATCTGATGCGCCGCGTACCTGACCGCAAATGGCCACAGAAAATGGGGGGCAGCCGCATGCATCATAGACGTACGGGCGACGTCCATGATAATGCCAATGCGGCGCTCTGCAATCCCATTTTGCTGCGGTGAGTCCGGAAGCGTGAAGGTCTGACGGATGCCTCGCGCATGACAGTAGGCACGCAGAAGGCCAGAGGAGAACTCGCCGCCTCTGTCCGAGTGCAGACGCAACACAGGAAAGTCCGAGCCAAAGCTCTGCCTGAGCTGGAGACGAGCTGCGCGGATCCAGTGGATCAGCACCTCAGTGACATCACCCTTGCTGCGCAAGGGGAAGACTGTGGTGTAACGTGAGTAGTCGTCAACCACCAAAAGGAAGTAGCGCTCGTGACCGAGTCCACGGACGCGGGCAGGGCCCCACACGTCCATGTGAAGCGTCTGCAACAGAGCCTCTGTCGGAGGAAACTGGGAGGAGTGAGGGGCAGCACGCTGGCGCCCCTCGACACAGGGGACACAGGCAGGGCCAGGGCCCTGAGGAAGGGGAGGGAGGGACCGGGGAAGACCAGACACAAGAAGACGGAAGGCCATGCCTCTGAGCCGAAGCAGAGAGGGGTGGCCCAGGCGGTGGTGCAAGAGGAGAGTCTCGTGAGACAGGCGACGACACGAACAGGGGGCAGACTCAGGACCAGACCTGGACGCTGCAGCAAACACCTGACCTGGCGAAGGGACCCTACCAGACACTGGAACTGGAGGAGAAGCAGTGGTCAGTGTGTACAGGCTCGACCCTGGCTGACGTGTAAACGTAGCCAGGTGTCGACCTGTGCTAGCCTCTATGCAGTGCGTCACTCGCTGACGAGCAGGGGTGAACTGGTGGACTTCCGCATCCTGTAGGTCAGCACCACTCACCAAGTTCGTAGAGAACGAGGGGAGGTAGAGACCAGATAGGGTGCCAGAGGGAGCCGCCGGACACGGGAGGACTGTGGAGAAGCGAGACAGGACAGGACCCCCAGAGGGGTAAGCCAGGGACACCGCAACCGGCCGACTAAGTGGCGTGAGTGTGGTGCGGTCCCGAAAGAAGGAGCGAGACGCTCCAGAGTCAAGTGTGAAGGTGTGGGAGGCCGCACCCGACACATTACCTGAGAGCGCAGACTCACTAGTACCTGAGAGAGCAGCCTCACCAGCACCTGAGAGCACAGGCACACCGGCACCTAGAGCAGTAGCCTCACAAGCACCTAGAGCAGTAGTACCAATGCCCGGGTCGGGCGGGAAACACCGGTAACAGTCACCCTCATCACTAATGGTCACAGCATACATAGCAGCAAGGATAGCATCAAAGTCAAGATCAAAGAAAGCTACACCACCCCTAGACAGCTCTCCCCAGCGGGGGATCTCCGCGGCCTCCGGGAACTGCTGGCGCCAAGCGTCCGTCAGACGGCCAAAGCAGCGCTGGGTGATGTGGGTACCCCCACACTGCTCTCCAGCGCGGTCGCCAGTGCGAAGAACGTAGGTGCAAGGGCCAAAACCCCCACCGCGCTGACGCTGCGTGTACCACTCACGGAGCTGCTGAGGGGTGGGGACGTTGCGAGAACGCTGCTGCTGCTGCTGCTGCTGCTGCTGCTGGCGCTGACCACCCCCAGTGCTGCTCCGCTGCGAAGCGCCACTCCGACCACCTCCACCACCGCCACCCCCGCCTCCGCCTCCACCGCCGCCGCCTCCACCGCCGCCGCCTTCGCCACCTCCGCTCCCACCGCCACCGCCGCCGCCACCCCCGCCTCCACTGCCGCTCCCACCCCCGCCACCACCTCCACCGCCACCCCCACTCCCTCCGCCGCCTCCACCTCCACCGCCCCCGCTGGCCCCACTCGCTCCCTTGCCCCCCTTGCCCTTGCCAGAGCGGCGTCTCCCGCTAGGGGCAGACGCCGCACCGACCGACTCAAGACCAACGAGGTCAGCCGCAGCGGCAGAGGCGACAGAGGGCAGGAGAGGGGAAGGAGAACACCCCTCAAAGATGGGGGCGCTGGGGTCACCTCGAGAGGCTCCTACAGCGACAATGCTCTTCTCCGCCGCTAGGAGGGCCTTCTCAAGGCTGCCGACTGTGAGGGTGGTGGGACAGACCGCGAGGAAGTGGTCCCGGACTACACGAAGGGAGTCAAGGAGGCGAGTGACTAAGAAGTAGAGAGTGATGTACATGGGGGGGGGGTTCTTGGCGCAGAAGTCAGCAGGATGCGCAGCGCGGTAGCGAGTGTCACTAGTGTGGAGGTGCGTAATGAGATGAGCAACAGTGGGAAAGGCGGCAAGGTCAGGGAAGAGGAAGGGGAGCATGAGGCGGCTCAGTGCAGCAGTGGCAGGGGAGGAGTAGCGCGCAATTACAGCGTCGTACAAGGTCTGGGCACTCTTGTACTGGCTAAAGTGCGTGCGCTCAGCGGTAGGCAGGTGGCGACGCACAGCAAGACGTGCAGCAGCATCGCGCGTGGCCCACTGTGAGCGAACAGTGGCGTCAGCATCAGCAGCAGGGGCAGGGACGGCGCTAGAGGTGAGGTCAAAGAGAGAAAGACCGTCTGCCCTATCGCACTGTAAGAACAGCTGCAGGTCGTCGACCCAGACCTCAAAGTCAATGGCACGACCCTCAGCGTCAAAAGCTAGGACACTAGGGGTAGCCATGACTGCAGCCGGCGATCTCACTAGACAGGACGGGTCGGGGAGCACAGCAGCACAGCAAACACGGCAGCTCGGCCGGCCCAGCAGCAACAGCAGCACCTCGGCACAAGCGGCTCGGCTCCTCGGGCGGCTCAGGCGGCTCGGGCGGCTCGGGCGGCTCGGGCGGCTCGGGCGGCTCGGGCGGCTCGGGCGGCTCGGGTGGCTCGGGCGGCTCGGGCTGTCAGCGGCACATGCGGCTCCTGCGGCTCGGCTCCACAGCTGCGCAGGCGGCTCGGGCCGGTGGCTCACGGCAGGGACGGGTGGTGCACGGGTGGCCGGGAGCTGGGCCGGGACAAGTAGCGCGCGGGTGGCTGGGAGCGGGGCCGGGACGGGTAGCGCGCGGGTGGCTGGGAGCGGGGCCGGGATGGGTGGCACACGGGCGGCTGGGAGCGGGGCCGGGACAAGTGACGCACGGGCGGCTGGGAGCGGGGCCGGGACGGGCTGCGCACGGGCGAAGAGGGGCCGGGAAGGGTGTGCGCGGCCGGGACGGGTGGCGCACGGGTGGCGTGGGGCCGGATCGGGCGGCGCACGGCGTCGAGGGGCCTGGCGGGCAGCGCGCGGGCGTCTAGGGGGGGCCGAGACGGGCGGCTCGCGGGCACCAAGGGCAGCGCGCGGGCAGCGTGGGGCCTAGGCGGGCGGCTCGCGGGCTAAAAGGGCAGCGCGCGGGCGGCGTGGGGCCTGGACGGGCGGCGCGCGGGCTCCAAGGGCAGCGCGCGGGCGGCGTGGGGCCTGGACGGGCGGCGCGCTGGTGTCTAGGGGCCGGGACGGGCGGCGCGCGAGCGTCTAAGGGCGGCGCGCGGGCGTCAAGGGGCCAGGACAGGCGGCGCGTGGGCGTCTAAGGGCGGCGCGTGGGCGTCTTAGGGCGGCACGCGGGCGTCTAGGGGCCGTTAGGGCAGATCGAAAAAGTAAGAGAAAGGGCCCGGAGCGCGCTCCGGGCAGAAAAAAAAGTTCGATGTGGTGGGCCCTAAGCACAGTTCCCACGGGGGAACCTGCTCGATACCATGAGAAAATTAGAACGAGAATGAAATGACTATGAACGAAGTGAGTACAAGTAGGAAACCCTAATTGGGTTGTACCCCCTATGGGATACCCCACTATAGCCTACACAAATAAGTAAGCTATAATATTCTGACACCAACCCATCACTGTAATTACAGCATATTGAGTGATGTGATAAGATCATGGAATCTTTCTGGCTCACAACCGTTTACTTTTCAATTTGAATACGGAAAGACGAAATGCACAGTCAAGGCTTACCGTACGTGGCTGCCTCGGCAGCCAAAGTGAAGCGAACTTTTGATTGACGCCGAGCCTCCAGCCGAAGCTAGGGGGTATCCTCGGGGTAACAACGAACTGATATGCCCCCCTGATTGGTCTATGGTTTCATTACGAAGGTGCGCGAACATGTCTGCGAGTGGTAATGAACTCGCCAGCACTCAAAGTTAACCTCGGGGGCACTTGTGGGAAACATGAGGGTTACCTCACGAGGGTGACCTTGGGGTATCCCTCGACTTCGGAGCGAATTTTGCGTTGTGATTTTTGGGATGCTGGCACTGGAGGGTAGCTTTTGATTTCGATGTTGATATCGAGAAAGTAGGAGATTAATATACGAGATGTGTGAGTGGAGAGAATCGTGTCGTGAGTTGGGACTGGGAGGGTTCGCCGCAAGTAGCGGCTTCGAGTCGCCATCGTGATTTTCCTCGAGAAACGACCGCGTGGCGAGAACTACGAAACTGGGTGTAACGCAACAATTATTACCACTTCGCGAAACGACCGCGTGGCGAGAACTACGAAACTGGGTGTAACGCAATCATGGGAAGCAAAAGGGAGTAGGCGAGGGACGAAATTGTAGAAGCGACGTAATCTCGTCGGTTCACTGAATTCGCTCAAAATTATTTCCAGGCTAGTGGCGTGGCGACCTTCCGTGATTTTTGGTAGGTTACCTGCTGGGATTGATTTGTTGGTGAGGCGAGGGGCCCAATTATTGTAGGAGCTTCGTGAAGTCAAAAGATTAGAACTCGTCAATTATTGGCAGCATAACCGATGGAAGATGGAACATGTGCGAAGCACAGACGAACAACATCCAAACCATGCGAACTGTCATCTTGGTAACTCTACTCATTCGACGAACCAAACCAGGGCCGGCTTTCGCATGTGGTAACACATAAAGAATGCTTTGGACGCAGGTCCTCGGACCACAGCATTTCATTCGCAATCACACACACTCACTAATAAAGATTCGCTAAGAACATATCAAGGCGCATGAATATGTCGGAGTCCATTTCAGGGTTTGGTAACATCCTGGCTCCTTAGAGTTTTACATGCCATTCCTAGAATTGCTGCATTCCTCCCCGCGCAGATCTCTTGCGTCCAGTTCAGCTGCCAATCCAAGGACGTGATGATGATTGTAAGGACAGCCTCACCCGCCGTCCTCCACGCTTCTCCCAGCGAGAAGCTCATTCGTAGCATCCTCTCTGCCACCCTGGTACTAGTAATGCGGTTTCTAGTAGGATCGCGTTGTAAATTTACGGTCACTTGGGTATTGATAGTAGCGTGTCAGGAAGGCAAGCAAGCTCGTGGCAGAAGGTTCCGACCTATTTCGTTCGCGACGCGGATTGCGTCTCCGGAGGCGCGTTCAAGAGCCGACACGGCCTTTAGGGGCTCCTTACGGAGAAAAAGCAGACGAAATCGTTCGTTTGTGTTACATTTGTTCGACATTTGATGGCACTGGGAGGAGAAGAGCCGATGACGACAATGGTAGTCGGAAGGGCCTACAGCTAGGTTGGAGGCCTCGACGGTAATCCCAAGGTGTGCTTGTGATGGGCACTGGATTGTGAGGAATTATGAGAGGAGGGTGGTGGACAATGGGGGGGGGAGGGAGAGGGCACAGGGGGGGAAAGAATGGGGGAGGTTGGAGATAAAGGGCATGGGGTTCGGGGATAGTGAGGGCAGGCGGAGGATAATGAGGGCAGGCGGAGGATAATGAGGGTAGGGGCTTGTCCAAGTGCTCCCCTCCTCTCCCCCCTCTAGGCAGTGGGGCGCTGTGTAGAGGAGGCAGGGGTGCTAGTAAGACATGTGATGTGACTCACAATATCGTCCTCACACCATGCGACACAAACCAACACAAACCATATACGGTATGTAGCTCTACAATGTAAGTGTAGATGGCTGGGTTGTCTATGGTGTCTTTGCCTTTGAATCAACAATGTCACCTAACCAGGACTATTCCTCCACACCTCTGTGCATCCCTCTCCACCCCTCTATACCCCTCTGCACCCGCCAGGTGGACCTGATGGCTCGCTCCCTCCAGCGCGTGGGCATCCGCAGGGCGCTGGTGGTGCACTCCAAGGGGCTCGATGAGATCTCCCCCATGGGTATGTCAGTCCTCCCCTCAACATGGATAGGTGAGCCCACCCCATAGGTCACTCTCCCCCATGGGTATGTCAGTCCTCCCCACCCCATGAATCAGTGAGCCCACCCCATAGGTCACTCTCCCCCATGGGTCAGTCTCTCTCCCCCATGGGTCAGTCACTCTCCCCCATGGGTCAGTCTCTCTTCCCCATGGGTCAGTCACTCTCCCCCATGAGTCACTCTCCCCCATAGGTTAGTCACTCTCCCCCATGGGTCAGTCACTCCAGTGCAGCATCTTCTCAGTTCCGATTTCAGTGATTGGCTCAGCACTATCAGTCCTTTCCTACTGCTCTCCAATGCTCTCCTTTTCCTCACAATCTACCAGTGGCTGTCAGGATCAGGCTATCCATGAACTGTTCTTTCTGGTCCCTCTCACTCCTCCATCCCTCCCAACCCTCGTCCCTCTTCCCCTTGCCTCTCTCACAGGCCCGGCAGACGTGACACAAGACTCTGTTCGCCCCTTCGGGGTCATACATTCCTTCTCCTCCCCCTGTAGACTCTCACCCGCGCCCGTGGCAGTGGACTACGGCATAGCGCGGTGCACAATAGAGGACCTCAAGGGCGGGGTCAAGGCACTCAACGCGCAGCAGGTGGCCATCGCTGATGCTCTTGTGAGTGCCAGGGAGGGCAGCAGTGGGAGTGCGTGAGGAGTGGGTTGTAGCAGCGTGCTTTTGTGGCTCTATGCGCATGTGCGGTGTGCATGGTGCATGCTCCAGGAAGCTGAAACCCTTAACCCACTTCTGTGAACATGTGACTGCTTACTATCTCACACGTTCCCCCCTGCCTGCTCTCCTCGTCATCACTCAGCATATTCGTCTCCCCTCTCTCCTGTCATCCCTCCTCATCTTTCATTCCGTGCTCACAGCCCCTGGTACTCCCGCACCTCCTCTCTTCCTTCCTTCTCTCCCTGCAGGTGCTGAATGCAGGCACGGGGCTGGCAGCGTGTGGGGTGGCAAAAGATGTGGGCGAGGGCATAGCCATGGCTCAGGAGGCGCAGCGCAGTGGCAAAGCTATCAGCGTGCTTGACCAATGGGCTGCACTCTCTCAGGTGATCAACCGGCCGCCCTCTTTGAATGTGTTCCTTAAACCCAAGTCTTGGTATATGTGTGCATGGAGCCCAGTCTTGTTCCCTCCACCCCCCTTCTTCCCCACATGTCGTTTTCCTGCCTTTCCCTCTTCCTCTCCACGTCTCTGCATCTTGCTGCCCCACTATCAACCTTCAATGCTTGGTTTTTTCGGTTCCTATCTACACCTTTTCTCTATCAAACAGGAGCTCAAGAAGGCTGAGCAACTAGCAGTTGCATGAGATGGGTTACGCCGTTAAATTACCGGTAACAGCTTTGCAGCAAAGGGGTTTTATGTTCATTATCGGGCACATACGGTAGTTAGGATCTGCTGTTTTGAGATTGCAACAAATCAATTCCATCCAAGGCTGCCAATTCTACAGAGTCCCTGCCAGTATGGTCAGCTCAGCTGCTGCTGCTGTTGCTGCTGGAAAGATCAAGGGCAGGAGTGAAAAGGGTGAAATTTGGAGGGCAGCAAGGCGCCTGTTGCTGGTGCTGCTGTTGCTGGTGCTGCAAAGGAAACGAAGCAGCTGCAGCACAGCTAGGGGCAGGTGAAGGAGGGTGATTCAGGTGAAGGAGGTGTAGGGGCAGTTATGGAGGTGAGGTGACATGAACAGCACTGGGAGGACTGAGTCCAACAGTAAGCACCAGGCGGCAGCAATGAAGGCTGCAGCAGTTAATTGTCCTCCCTTGTGCCTGGTTCTAGTACATTAGAGCCTTTTACTTGTCTTGCCACTACTGAAGGTGTATTCAGCTGATGATAAAAACGAATCCTCTTCATCTATCAAAACTCTTGTTGTACTAACATGGACAGCAGAACGAGCAACTACATCTAGCATAGGCATTGCATAGCACCGCTCCTATCATCTCATCACCATGTATCATCGCCTCATGCCCATCCGGACACTGGCCGGGCTTTTATTCACTACGCTGCACACCACCATGCCACGGTGGCTGCATTATTAGGGAGCACTCTCGTGCAGCACACGACCTCGTTACAGCGCATCCCATTACTCGCAACCTTCTTCACGCCTCGATGCAACCCATCTCGTTAGAAGTTTGTGCCGCTCTCGTAGATCTTCCCGCTGCTCCACTTGCTCGGAATCACGTCTTGCAGCACCACCTGCTGCCCGCCGCCCGTCGCCGTCACGCGCACGCTCAGCTTGCGCCCCTTGTCCACGACGTCCTTGGCGGGATTCAGTGTCCACGTGGCGCCCCATCCGTTGTTCGTCATGCTCTTCCACTGCTTCCCGTCGTTCGATATCTCAACCTTCTCCACTCCTCCGCTCTTCGCCGCGCCCAGAATCTGAACGACGAAATTGTAGACGTTGCTGTTGTTTTCGATTCTGACCGCCATGGTGCGGCTGCTAGGGCAGTCCACGCTGCGGTAATCGATCTCCACGTTACCCACGTTACGGTCCTTCACGATTTTGTCCCACGCGGGAAAGTTGAGGTTGAAAATGCCGCTCACGCCGACCGCTCGAACCATCACGCTGCCCTTGGTGCAGCTCGGGCTGTTCTTGCAGGTAACTTGGTAACACGTTCCGCAGCCCTTGCCGCTGTTGAAATTGCTCGCAGGCACCTGCGCAACCATGCCCTTGTCGAAATAGGGACTGTCGGCGTAGCTGAATTGGCCCCAGTAGCACGTGCCCTCGCGGTTCAGATCGCCAAGTGTTGCTTGGATGGCATCGGCAGGTGAGAGGGCGAGAGTGAGCAGGACGATTCCCACGCACAGCAGGCCGCCGACCTTGGAAGAGAGAGCCATCGGAGAAAAGAAGCGGAGAGAAAGAAATCAATGAGAGCTTTTGAGAGCTTTCTACAAACAGCCGGATCTGCAAAGCAAAACTAAGCAAGCTGGCTTGATTAGTAAACACTGGACGCTTGGGGGGCAGTGGTCGACCTTCGATGATGATAGGGATAGAAGACTTGGGAGATAAATATAGTCGAGGGGCTGGAAGTGAAGAGCGGCTTCGAGTCGCTCTTGTGAATCTCCTCCCCTCAAAAGTGCACTAGAGAAAGGCAATAATTGTGTTCCTTTCACGAACCAAGTGCTTGGCGATGCGACGAGTATGTTTGTAACTCAGTTCGTGAGTGGAAGTAGGGGAAGACGATTGGCTCGACGATGATTGTCACGAGAAGACCATCTTTCCATCGTGCCAGGGATTTGCTAGGAGCAATTTCGCAGGTGAGCGAGCGGCTCTACAATTATTGTAGCCTTGCGACGTCGAGGTTTCTTGAATTTGTTCGTCAGACCGGCGAAAATATCGATGGTAACACTCACAATAAGCGGCGATCTTCAGATCCTGGTAACTATCGCTGTTGACGACACACAACACACCCGGAATTCGCAGCTGGTAACACAGCTCAAATGTCATCCAACACGTTTTCTCTATACACATCCTCTTGTTCGAGCGAGAAAAGTGTTGATTATTTCAGTCAATTCAGGTCGCTGCACTCTCACCTTCAAGCTCGTCAATTGCTTTTCGGCATCGTCATCGGCATGCCAGCTCATCAATGTCTGTCTATCTTGTTCAATCACCAATTCTCGCCATCGGTAGCCTAGCCTCCCACAAGCATTGCCTCACCGACCAACCCTACCGCGCTGTCATCACCACCGAATCACACAGATTCACGAACCCATTTGCATGGTAACTGACTTCCTAGTGTCGTTTCCTGCAATTTTCCGTCCGCGTAATGGCTGTCACCATTTCGCCAGTTCTTTCGCAGCAATGTGGTCATTTGCTCACTCCCCTGCTTCCTTGCCCAACAAACTTGGGCCAACTTGTCTCCATTCTTTGACGTTTTTTTTGTCCCTCAGCTTGTGTTATTTCCTGCTCCCTCTGATAGTTCTCAGGCATTCAGACCAGATTTCTGACGAGCGCTCTACACGCTAGTTATTTTTCATCAAGTGGTCGCTTATCTTGAGTAGCCGGAAAGTACCTGGAGCCTTTTTATGTGCATCTAAGTTTACGCGTCACCTCTGATTGATTCATCGTCTCAGACTACTACAAAATTAAGGTAGGCACCATCTGCACCATATCCAATGGACAATTATGTTAGGTTCGCGCTGCGAACAAATTCTGGTCGCTATTCGGTTTGTTGGTTTTACTTTGTTCTCTCCTAAATCAGCTCTGGAATGCCACTGGCAAGTGTGCATAGTAGACCTGAGGATGAGGATTTACATCCCTGTTCCGAATGAAGAAAATTTCGAAGTGCTGATTGGTGCATAAATCTTGCATAAATCCTATAGAGAGAGATGCAACTTCTCATTTCGTTCACCCTCTTTCGTTCTCTCCCCCTCCCCCAATCCCTCCATCCCTGGCCTCCTCCTTCCATGTTGCCCTCAAATCACCTATTCAATCAACAGACACGCCCCATTACCCTCTACTCATTCGCCTCGGTACGCGCGGAGCACACAGCACCCTTGAGGACAAAAGCTTTTTGCGCGGAGGATATTATCATCCATTGGCTTCCATTCAGCCAGAGTGTACGGGCTTCAAACCATCCATGCAAAGGCAAGGGTCTTGGAGCAGGGGTTTTCTTGAGGCAGGGTTTTCTTGAGGCAGGGTTTTCTTGAGGCAGGGTTTTCTTGAGGCAGGGTTTTCTTGAGGCAGGGGTTTCTTGAGGCAGGGTTTTCTTGAGGCAGGGGTTTCTTGAGGCAGGGTTTTCTTGAGGCAGGGTTTTCTTGAGGCAGGGTTTTCTTGAGGCAGGGTTTTCTTGAGGCAGGGTTTTCTTGAGGCAGGGTTTTCTTGAGGCAGGGGTTTCTTGAGGCAGGGATTTCTTGAGGCAGGGGTTTCTTGAGGCAGGGGTTTCTTGAGGCAGGGGTTTCTTGAGGCAGGGGTTTCTTGAGGCAGGGGTTTCTTGAGTCAGGGGTTTCTTGAGGCAGGGGTTTCTTGAGTCAGCGGTTTCTTGAGGCAGGGGTTTCTTGAGGCAGGGGTTTCTTGAGGCAGGGGTTTCTTGAGGCAGGGGTTTCTTGAGGCAGGGGATTCCATACCTCACAGAAGGTCTGCTGATCGCAAGTGTTTCCCAATGGATGTAAATAGTGTCGTGGCGATTGTGGCCGGGATTATAGTTGGTGCCCTTTTGCTGCTGCGTATGCTGGCCCATTTTTCCAAAGCTAAAAAGCACATATGGGCTGGGTTGGTGGAAATATTCGATCTTACAAGCAAGGGAGGCCACTTGGTTCCCGGGCCGATGCCTGTAGGTTCTTCAGGGAAACCCCCCAAGTTTACACCACCCTCCAAGCTTACACCATCATCCAAGGAGTATAATCTGCCAAGTGTCACACCACCACCGGTCAAGCCGCAGCCAAAACAAATCACGTCAGTATCCACAGCAGAGGTACCTAGAGGGTTAAGTGGAGCATCTGATGGAAACACAGCAGCACCGCAAGCGGCAACTGCAGCGGCAGCGGCACCATCGGCACCATCAGCACCACCAGCGACGGCAGCAGCAGCAACAGCAACATCAGCAGGGGCAGCAGCAGCAGAAGCACCAGCAGCAGCACTGCCAACAGCGGCAGCAGCAGGAGCTGGAATGGTCCCAGGGCAGGTGGTTGTTGACATACCCTCTGCATCATCCATGGCAGCGCTAGAAGAAGCAGCAGCAGCAAAAGCAGCTGCAAAAGCAGCTGCAGCATCAGAGATGGCTCAGAAAGTAGTCGGGAGTGATTCAAGCAAATCATCGTCCCAAACACGGGAATCAGAAACACCAGTAGCAGTACTTGCAGCAGAAGAAGCAGCCGCTGCAGCTGCTGCGGCTGCAGCTGCCGCAGTGGCAGTGGCAGCAGCACCAGCAGAGCCAGCGCAGCCGTTGCTGCGTGCTGCAGCGGGTGCTGGGCCAGACGTGTGCCAACGATTCTCCCTTGAAGAGATGGCTCGGGCCACGGGGGGGTGGGCAGAGAGCAACCGCATAGGCAGCGGCAGCTTTGGCGATGTGTACAGGGGGGTGAATCCGCGGAACCCCAAGGAGGTGTGGGCTGTGAAGCGAGCCCGCGTGCTCACCAACGACTTCCGACGCGAGGTGAGATATAGAAGGTGGTGTTGAGACTCCCTGTCATGTTCTGTAATCGCTTGGTAGTTTCAAAAGTATCCACACCGTGTTACTGGGTGTGAGTGGTGTGTTGTTGGCGAACGCTGTCAGTAGGGTGTCTTCTGTGGGAGTGGTGATTGTTGGAAAATGTTGTCCGTAGGGTGCCTTCTGTGGGAGTGGTGATTGTTGGAA